TGTGACCCAAACAGCCCCTCTAGGGCTAGAATACCAGTCAAGAGGATAGAATTATGCTCCTGGTTTAGTGGTTCTGGTTTACATGTCGAGTCAATAAGACATTTAATGTATCTGTGCCTCAAGTGTTTCCCACTTTAGAACGGAAGCAGGAGGGTTGACCCACATTTGTAAAGCAATTCAAAGTCCGTTGCAAGGTGTCACAGTATGGTTATTGTTTAAAACACTGCTAGATCTGTAATTCCTCAAACTAGCAGGTAGGGATTAGAGTGGCGTGGCTGCCGGGCAGCCTCGGCGTGCTCTTTGGGCTGGCAGATTACCTGAACGCAGGCAGGGGACTGCAGGGCCCGCTGGCAGGGGCCCTGGGCTGGCTGCTGCCAGGGCACGGCCAGGTGAGCCAGGGCTCCCAGCCTGCCCATAACCCGGAGCGCCAGCACAGCACCGAAATAGGCTGGGCTTGCAACGTAATGAACGTTGCTGAGAGCCACCTTCTCTTCCTCTGCCTGTCCTTCCCATTTATTTTTATCCCATTTGGGAGCGCTCATTGGTGTTTACTACCACTTGTCAACCAGCAGCTTGAAATAACAGAGCTGAGGCGGCGGATGGGGAAAGTGAGTGAAGAAAACAGGCGCAAAAGCAGGTGCTCTTTGGTAAGAGGGCTGCCCTAGAGCAGTATAGACCTTATAGCCTTACAGCTTACAAACGCAGTTTCACCTCCTGTTCTCCCTTGCTATTGCAGAATTGCCAACTCATATTTTCACTGGGTCTCTCTTGCTAGTCCATGTTCTTCCTCATGCCCCAACTCATCAAGGCAGGTGATTAGGAGAGATGCTGCTCTTCTGATTTTTAGATATGTTTCTAGTGTTTATGGCTACAAACCAAAGTGCATCGCAGAGGCTGAAAAAATACCCCAGCAAAAGGCAAAGAGAGCCCATACATACTATTTTTATGAAGCTTCTTGGTTGTTAATCCTTTTTTTATCTTAGAATTACTGTGTTGCAACATGACAATTCTCTTCCTCGCTGTTCCCTTTCAGGATACTCTTACTTGCCTTTTCTGTATTTCTCCACTCACCCCCACAAACCTCACTTCTTCCAGTCCTTCTCCACTAATCTCCAGTGATTCCCTTTCTTACCCAACTCGTGCCACCCACCCTCCACACCCCTGGTCACACACAGCCCTTTGGCAGCTTCAACCCTTCCACCTCTGTAATGCCAGCTGCTTTCCAGACACGATCTCGCATGCATCCTCCTCAGCCGCCCTCGCTTTGCAATACTCGTTATTCACCCTTGAGTCCAGAAAACACCAAGTTCACTAAGGAAATTCCATAGACCACACAGCAGCTATATGACCTGTAGACAAATTTTTGGGACTGCTAATGGGATGTGCCTCTCTTTTTTGGCATCCAGTGCCAGACACTACCAAAGCGATCAGTAGACAAGTGCCAAGCTCCTGTGCTGCTCTTAGGCTCCATCAACAGCCTGATGCTTGAGAAAATTGAGCTGAAAGCCCTGAGTTTTATCACTGCTAAAAGCTTTGACACTCCTGCTGATGTAAGTACTTTGAACACTGAGCCATTTTGATGTGGTCTCAACAAAACATACTTGTGGTCTGGATCCAGACTTCATCATTTATGTAACTCTAATCTAGACATTAACATTTCCATGTCCAAGCTTAATTTTCTGTAAAACGAGGATCACGTGCCTCTTCCTATCTCTTGGTCTGGTGGGGTGTTCAGAAGTTTCTGACATGCTCTGAAGTTCTCAAATGAAGAGATTGAATGCAGGACCAAGGAACCAAAGTGCTTTTCTGCCTCTTGGTTGCAGAGCAATTCGCATTGCTCCAAGAATGCTCTAAATATGCATACAGCTGGTAGGTAAGGTACCAGAGGGAGAGATGTGCGCTAGAAACTTTTTCCTTTGTGCTTAGATCTTTATCTCAAACCTAAACCCCAAACCAGCCACGTAAGACTTAACTAGCACTGTCTCCTATGACAACTCATTAGATGGGAGCCCTCAGAGCAAATTTTGTTTAAGTCTAAGCAGAATAACATTTCTTTGCTGTGTTTATTATGTCTTGGCCAACAATGATGTCTAAAGGTCTTGCTGTCTATTAGCTAGTGATTTAACGCCGTTTGCCACAACTCTTTGGAGACCAGGGCATTTCACTTAAAGGGAGGTTGTTCTTTTTAAAAAAGAACAAGAGGTTTCTTTTCATCGGAACAGGCACCACAATCTCAGAAGCCTCTGCTTGCACCAGTCAGGTTTTGCATCCCTTCCCTGGCCACTGCTGGTGGGTCAGAGTGGCAAGTGCTAATCCAGGAGTGCTTGAACTTCTCCAGCGAGCATCTGACATGGGGCCTTTTTGGGTCCAAATGTTCCAAGTGTGTGTGGGAAGGACATTTCCCTTTAGTGTGTCCCTTTGATCTCTCTCACTTCAGGCTTCCCCTCCAGGCCTATTGTTTGCACATTGCTGTAACTACAGGAAAACAAATGCATTATACAATTTCCCAGACTGACTCACCCTGGTACTTGATGCCTCATGTTGTCTGGTTACTCTGATTGCATCATGTCAGCATGGGAAGCTTAAAGGCTGGTTTTTCTGAGTAATACTGCAGTTGAGCAGTAGCTAAAAACAAAAAAAAAAAGTTATCATTATTGCTATTATCTTCAACCTGCAAAATACAAGGGAGAAAAACCAAGCAAGCCAAGTCCCTATTAACTAAACCTTGTGTGAATCATGAGTTCCAGTCAGGGGCCATGCTTAAATGATGCAGTATGTGAATATAAAAACCCTTTACTTCTGGAAACTTGGACTCAGCCATTGGAACGGGCCAATCCGTACTACTCCCTCGTCCCCAGCTCCTTTGGGATACATTCTGTTCAGTGTGTTGTAAACAGGGAAGGGCGGGAGGTGTCCACGCAGCTGCGTCATGCACAATGGGAACAGGGCCATTGCTTCTGGGTGGGGATGAAACCCCAGGAAATTTGTCCCCCGGTTAGAGTTCAAGCATCTTACATTCCTGCAACTGATGTATACGTGGAGGGAGGGGATTATCCATACTGTTCACCTTCAGCTGTCCTAGGTGCACCCAGCAAAGCTGACTGAGCTTCAGAGAGCAGCTCCCAAGACCTGGGTTGAGGCTCTCCATCACTGCACCATGGCCCTTTCCTCAGCCACCTGCTTTGGCTGCCCAAACATCACAAAAATAGGCCCCCGTAGGACCCCACCTGTGCATTAGCAAAAAAGTGTTGCAGGCAGTTCCATTCTGATGTAAGGCTTCCTCCAAAAGACCAAACTTTGTTTAAAAGAAAGCAAAACTCCCTTTCCCATGCCTTCCTCCATGGCAGGGATGTGCTGGGCAAAGGGAGGAATTGCAGTTTTTAGAATCACACGCCTGCAAAGCATCTCTTGCAAGCATCAGACCTTGCCTCCTCTTTCTGAATTGAGCTGACACAGAAAGTCACTGCTTTCCCTCGGGCTGCCACATGCAGCACCAACTGCACCCTCAGCAGCGCTGGCTGTATCTACCTGTTCAGCATCGTGCATTGGTGAGGAAACGACAGAATCCTCCTTTTATGCACACCGGGCGATGTGCTCAGGTGCTCTGCAGGAACTAATTTCAGAAGTTTAATTTCACGTAAGGCAGCACAGAGCCAGAGGCAGTGACATCCATTAGCTCACGGAGGAAAGCCATCATCTCTTATACGCCCTGGCCCACAAAGGTTGAAAGGAAAGCTCGATAGTAAAAACATTGCAATAAAACTCCATTTCTGAGTCAGCTGTGTAGGACACAAGCCTCTAATTTGTTGGTATCTCACAGGGAAAAGAATGACTAAAAGCTGCGAGACAAAAGCCTCTATGCCGGCAGTACTTCTCGGATTCATTTTTGATCACTTGATATTTCATGCAAACAAGAGGCACTGTGTAAACTAAGTTATATATAATCTATGTGCACTGACAAATCAATAGTGACAAAACTAATAAGACCTTCTTTAAGCTTTGAGGACATGATTAAAGGATTTTCCAAGGATATTTCTTCATTCAAAAGGCTATAATTACACTTAAAACAAGTTATCGTGTTTGTGCACTGTAAGTACAAAAGTAGCTCTTACAGAACTTGTCTAGACGCTTCCGCTGTGTTTCTTTGTTCTCCTTGGTAGAGTCATTTTTTACAAAGGAGCTGCACCACTACCCAATTTTTTCATCAAAGTTTTATCTCTTTCTTAATTTCTGATAAGAGAGAGTTCCTTCCTTTGCAGAACCTGTGTTTTCTCAAATTTTCATTTTACAGAAATTTCCCAGGAAATGTTTTGTAAATCTGGGATTATTTCACTCTTTTCAAATGCGTGAAATCCTCTCTATTTCTGGTCTTTCTCATTTTCTGGTATTAGTTCTTCAACCAAAATAACCCAGCAGTGGCCTTTAAAAAAAATCAAGCAATGAATTAAAAGAAAATTGCCACCCAAAGTAATGCAGACCTGTGACTATGCAGAGGGTTACTGCCTCAATCAATTATCTGAACCTCAGACGAACAAATTTAAAAAACCATTACATATGTTAATATATGCACACCAGTGTTCCAGCTGGCTCGCACCAATGCTACAATTATGCATAAAAGTCAGGAAATGATGTGTGGAAAGGATAATGAGCAGCATTGTCTGCCCAATTACCAAGTTTGCATATGCAAACAATAATTTTGCAAATCCATGCCTGGCAAGTGTTTTTTCTGAAGTTGCATCAGCAGCTCTAAGGTTAACTGTAACAGCAAAGTAACCCAAAACCACCTCAACTCTGCTTCAACCCATCCTCCCTTTTTTAAAGAGAAGAAAAGCGCTTCATCTGAAGGTGATTAGACGGGAAAGCACGCCAGCCCAGCTCTGGCATGATCTGCCTATTGCTGAAAGGCTGACCAAGTGTGTTGCTTAAAGCACGTATGTGAATGTCCATAAAGACACCAGTGGGAAGCCCAGTAAATGGGAATTGTGCTGCTTTTTTTCCAGGGATTCAGATTTGTTCCTGCTCGACTCTCGAACAATCTGGGCCGCAGAAGAAGGGTGGCTGGTGTTTGACATTACTGCAACCAGTAATCACTGGGTGGTGAATCCCCAACACAACCTTGGCCTGCAGCTATCCGTGGAAGGCGTCGATGGTGAGTGTCAGACACCAGCATCAATCACTGAGTCTCCATTTCAGGTATATGATTCCCAGCCAGGGGAAGCCTTAAGCATTCAGTGCTCTTTCCTTTGAATAGGATTTCTTAAGTACGTTTTTGCCCAAGATGCAAATAGTAATAATAATTAAAAAAATAATCCAGAGGCATATTTCAGGTTAAAGATGTACTCAGATGCTTCAACAGATTGGTAACCTGTCTGCAGTCATTTCCACATTAGCTATGTACACATGCCCATCAAGGTATGCATACGCTCGCTGCTGGCTGATTTGCAGGTAGGGCAATCCAGTTGAGGAGAGGGGAAAAAACTTTGCTATGTGCGAAAAGACCCAACTGAGTGATATAGAAGGCTAGTGTTAATTGGCACAAAAGCCCTTTCAAAATCAGAAAACAGCTAGGAACCATTTTAATTTCCTTTGAGGCAGCAGAAATGATTAGTAAAGTCATGCCTGGTCTGGACTCCAAGGTCTGCAGTGTGCTTATGGTACAAACCTGTCAGGTTTGGGAATGGATGGGAAGACCTGGCTCTGAAACATCTCCAGAAAGGATGCATTTGGAATCAGGCAGGGAATTTTCCTAATCAGGTCTTAACTAAAAAGTCATGCTGCTTTGTCTTAGAGTTAGGATTCCTGATGTTCACTTGGAGACTTGGAAATCAAAGTGTCCTGGATCTTCTGGGAGGTTCCCAGGACCTGGGACCATCTGGAACTGCCTGGCTGCCCCACAGGAGAGGTTAAGCAAAACCCAGCTCAAGACTATTATAAATACTCAGAATGTAGTTATCTAAGGACATACTTTCATTCTCCAGATACGCATCTATGATATCACTTGCTGTTGGTTTTTATGCAACACTCTGAATGTTTCCAGTAAGCAGTATTTTCCATAAAGACTGTACAAAGCAGTTTTTAAGCAGGCAACCTGTGGAGTCATTTACATGAAAGGGTGATTTCACTCACAAGACCTGAGCGCAGAGATGCACAGGGTTTATTTTAACCTGCCCTTCCTGAGTGATCAGCGAATGCATAAAACCCAAACACAGATACAAAGCAGGAGCTTCACCATGGAAGTTGCTTAGTCCCCAGCCTGATGGCAGATGACTTTTCCCATCTTTCTATAAAGATTCAGATCCAACATGATTTACAAGTTAATTTTTACTCTTAAAGCTAAACCAGTAAGCCAAATCAACAGCCAAGACAAGCTTAAATACTTGTCCTTGGTTTTAGTTTCCAGTTTGCCTCCTAAAGGAAATACTTGGAAGTACAGAAGTTACGTCCACAATCACGGCACATTCATTCAATTGTGGTTCACATACAGGAAAACTGTCAAGACCAGCCCAGAGTCCACAGAAAAGTGATAGCTGGAAGTAGGCTTAATATCTCTAAACACTACCGATACTGCAGTATCACACTCGTGCTCTTCTACCAATAAAGCCTTCTTATCCCTCTGTCCTTCCCCATCCTCACCCAGTGATTTTACAGGAAAAGTCAATCGCTTTTTTCAGCATTAAGGAGGAAAGCAGCTGATTTATGAATATGTTACAGATTTCAATGGAGACTTTTCAGCACCCTGCATCCAAGGAAATGCTGCAACTTTGCACACACTTACAGTAACTCTGCTCTACTGGAGCAATCCGGAGTGGGCCCTTAAAAGCATACAGCCAAATTTATCACAGGGAGAGCTTTCAAAGACAGAAATTCCCAGGTTCAGTGATAAGTGCATTCTCATCTGTTATTCAACTCATTGAAAATTAGCAATCTGGTTTCTTTTTTACACTCCTGAAAAAATCTAGCTGAGTATGTAAAGGGTTGAAATCATACACAAAGTGACTTGCTTCTTTCTCAAAATAGATTAACAAAATACTTTAGTCAGCCTGTCATTAAAGTTACAAAAGCCAACTACAGTGTTTAAAAAGTAAATACAGAGATACAGGAGCTGATTGTCTGCTTGTCTTCGTAACCCAGTCCCCTGGCAGCACACCTTTGCACTCACATTTCTCCACCATACACGTGAATTTTTCTTTCTGTTTTGAATAGCAAGGACATGTCCTTCCTTGCTCCCCAAGTTTCATTTTGGATTTAGACCAACTGTGTGTGCCAACAAGAAAGCTGCTTTTACACCTGGACTTCATATGAAAATCATATGCTGCAAACACAGCAGGATTTGGATGCAACGCTATATGCTTGGGCAACCCTCAAAGCTATGTAAAAAAAAATTCTGACATCACAATCACTGTCCAGATGAAATCATACAAAAGAAATTAATTAACTGATCTTTGTATTTCTTTATAATCTTGCCAAAGAAGTCTATCAACGTGTATAAGTAGGGTGGAATCAAAGGGCAATTGTTTACTCTTAGAAAATGGGGATCAGCTCAAGCAGCAAGCAAAAAAGATGTTGGAGTGACTCAGTAGCCTTCAGCGAGCTCTCGGCCCAGCACCCGATACGCCTTGCTCAGCAGCAGCACATGGGAGCAGCAGCTGCCCACTTAGGTTTGCTTAGTTTATTACTTAAGATCCCATTTTTGACAGCATTAAAAATGCAGCTTCATAAAAGCAGATAAAGCCATGCCCTCTGGTTCAAAAGCACAGCTTTAGTTCTTTTGGGAGAAGTTTATCACTGTCTAAGTGGAACTACACACGCGTCCTTGTGTTTAACCTTGCCTTCTGGATGTATAGGAAAAGTTAGAAAGTGGATTTTTCCCATCTTTATTAAAAAGAAATATGCTACTTCGCATACAGAGGATTACATGCCTTTTCCTGCCCCCCCCCCCCAGGAAACGTTGCTACCATAATGGTCTTGAACACGACACATTGGTGTTACATGAGGAATTCATTGGTGAAATGCTACTTATTGCTGTGCTAATGCAAATCCATTAAACATATCAGTGTGAAGCTGGGTCCCTTCCCTGCATACCGCTGACCTACTCTCTAGAGACATGGTAAAGGTAAAGTAATTTACACTGGACAAACCACAGCCATATATGTACTTGCTAGTTTAAACAGCTTTGGGAAGCAAAAAGGCTTCTTTGAAGGGGCAGGAAAAGCCATAGGAGCAGTATTCATTGAGCCCTGACTCCTGCAGCTGAGCTTGTTTTCAGGAAATAAGGCTTCGATCTGGCAAAGCCTGAGCACAAGTGGAACTACTTATATATTTAGCATTAGCTACTTGCTTAAGCACTTTGTGGGCTCAGCCTCAAACGTTTAAAATGAAAACTGTTTGGACAAGTTTCCGGAAAGGAGCTTAAGCAGAAGGTGAAGAAGTTGTTGATGTGTGTCCACATATAAATCTACGTACGTGAGTTTTTGCGTTTGCTATTTTCACCCAAGCTTTCCTGGGGCCCCAAGATTAGTTTTGCTTTATCTAGTTTACAAGGCCTGGCCCTGCTCCTCCACAGACGATGTGCCATGGGACCTTCCCATGCCGGGCAGCCGTCCTGCTGCTGAGTTGCCACGCTCCCAGTACAGCACCTCTCGAGCCAGTCCTCCCCACAAATCCCATATACTGCAGCTTGGGACTTGCTTGCTGGGCTGCACACATTTAGAAAAATAGTAAATGGACTCCAGCCAAGGCCCATTCATTTCTTGGCCTCGGGCTTTGACCGCAGCCCCCTTTTCTGGATCTGTCACCTTTACCAATCTTTTGGCCACATGCAAGACCAAAGATGGAAACAATTCCATAAAGCCGATAATTTATAAGCCTTGGCATTTGCTTTACTCGTCTTAAAAACAGCAGTTATAGAACATTCCCTAGAAATACTTCAGGTTCCCAGCTTCTTTTCACACAGTAGTCAGAAATGAGTAAGATAAGGAGGTTTCTGCCAGTGGAAAGTAGAGCCCCTCGCCTGCTCTCCCCTGCCTTTCAGGGCTTCTCTAGGAAAGCCTCAGCTGGCCTTTGGCATATTTGCTTTGTGACTGACAGGACCAGCTCTCTCCAGAGCAAAAGGATCACAAAAGCCATTAACGTAACTTTGACTTAGCAGCAGTCAGTAGCTTGGGACAGAATAAACGTGGGTATCGCCCCTGCATTTCACAGCTGCACCCAGGCACCCTGTGGAGGCAACAGGGAGAAATGTTAAATTTCCTGCTGCCAACCGCTCCTTGCATCTTTTGTAAATAATTGATTTAATTCTACGGAGGAACCGCCTAATCATCTTTTACCAAAAATAAAATTATTTTAAAAGCCCAGGGTAAAGGAAGCATGAACAGTAATCAACAGTTTTAGAACAGAGTTATTGCATACAGTAGTGCTGGGACACAGCAATAAGCAAAATGTCTCTAAATATCTGAACTATTTGTTTCTCCCAGCTACAGTATATCTGGAACTCTGTCAACATTTCATACAAGGCATTTTTATTTTAAGTTAATAACCTTCCAGTGGGAATTTAGTGTTCCTATGGGCTGAGTTTTATGGTTCCTTTTATAGGATCTCTTCAAATTATAGGTTGGTGAACTTAAAGAAACCCCTCTAAAGAATGCAGGAAAAGTTAATGCTAAGCGGATTTAGGGTAAAATAATTATATGCAGGACTATTTTATGTAACTTTTACACGCAGATCTAAATGAAGTTAGCTGTGCTGAGCTGCTCTTGTCAGAAGCAGCTTTGCCAATTAAGTCCAGGCCCTTGGTGGATCAGCACACACAGCCGTGCCTGGGAGTCATCCTTACCAGCCAGACAGCAGCGCTCCTCCTTGTTATCCTTACTATGATCTGCTGAAAATGAAAAGTTACTGCAGGCCCTCTTATCGATCCGTTCTGTTATTAAGGGCAAAGCATCAATCCCAAACTGGCGGGTCTCATTGGAAGGCACGGCCCACAGAACAAGCAGCCATTCACGGTAGCCTTCTTCAAAGCCACCGAGGTCCATCTCCGCAGTATTCGCTCCACGGGAGGGAAGCAAAGGAGCCAGAATCGATCAAAACCGCCAAAGAACCAGGAAGCTTTCCGGGTGTCGAACATCGCAGGTACAGCATGGGTTGCTGGGTCCATGTTTCTGGCTGTGGGATAGTGCTCCGCTGGACTCGACACTGGATGGGAATGGTTTCTCCCACGCTCAGCCTATTTGTTCTCTCTTTGGTCTACCACTAGTGTTCTCTTGCTGGTTTGAAACTACTTGGGATTAGGGATTATTAACAAAAAATTAGAAAAAGAATGTTTCTTTGAAACAATGTTAAGCTGAAGGATTTTGTAATCCAGTATAAAAAAAGAGCCATCTAACCAGAAAAGCTCCTTTTCTCCCTCACGAAATAAATTCTCATTTTGAAATGTAAGATAATTACATTAAACTAATGGAATAAGTGATCAAAACAATAATATTTTTCAGCGGATCTGAATCAAAATGCTGTAGATTTTTAGAGTTTGTGATTTTATGTTTAGCCCCCAAAAAGTTGAATAGTCGCAAAAGTTATGCATGAAAGAGGAAAACCCATTCGTTGCTCAGGATAACCGCAGCTATTTTGGGGGGAGTTGTGCTTCCTAATATGGAAGAAAACTGTCAGGCATTTGAAATAGAAACGTGGCTTAATTACGAGATACCTCAGAATAACGGGCCCTTGGTGACCTTCCCAGCAGGAAACGCAGGGCCAGCTCCGTTGAGGGTAGTAGCAAATTCCAGCTCTATTTCTGCAAGCATGTCACTGAATGGAAGGAGGGCTTGCAAGAGGTGGAAGAAGAAGGGCAACATAGAGCACTATACCGTCGTACGTGACTCACCTTCGCCTTGGGTTCCTTGGGGTTACCTGCAAGGCAGTGGGAGAACTCTCTCCCATTAGTCCAGTTGCAGCTTCCCGATATTTAATCGGGTCATTGCTGTCCTAGAACTAAGGATGTTTTTCTGCAGCCCTGGTAATAGGTGTGGGTTCTCTGACCTGCCCACATGTATGTATTTCTGTACCTCTCACCCAAAATCCTAGAGTCTCTTAAAATGTTTTTCCACGGCTTATGTTTCCAAGCTCTGTGTTTTGCAGTTCCCCAAGCACAGATGGTCTGCAGTTTAGTGTGCATTTTTTTTTCATCTGTTAGCTATATCAATTACATTTTTAAAGGATGGGTAACGAACAAAAGAATTTCTTACTTCTGTGAGTAGGTTAGAAAAGTCCCTGTAACCAGTGTCCTGCTTCCAGCCTGGGAATCCCATGTTGAGTTTGTTTCCAGCAACAAGAGTTGACAAAAATATTTTCCGGTGCTTCTACTTGGGTCTCCAGCTCAGGCTGTATGTCCAGGATGGAGACGACATTAAAACTGCACCGGTAGTCATGGTGGTTCAGATCCATGATTCAGACCCGTGCTTTATTCTTTGGCTTTAGCACTGTCATCCATTGTGAGAAGTCTGTAATCTGGATCCAGCTGCACTGGACAGAAGAACAGATTTCACACTGCCTTAACGTCTTACGTTGCCTTTGCAGGCCTGAAGGTGCAAGTCTCACCTGTAACGCAGGTGATTCAAAGACAGCTAGAAATTTAGGAAACAGGCAGATGGTGCCTTTCCCTATCACTCCTTTCACAGGCTTTCATTTTCTATAGTAGGCAATAATCAGAGAGATCTAAAACTGACAACATTTTTAAAAAAGAAAAAAAGCCCTAAGTGCAACAGACAAGCAGCGATGCCTCACTCCCTGTCGGGGCGTTGCTGGGGGTGCTGGGGCAGCCCAGCCTTACAGACCCCCTTTCCCCCACGCAGAGAACAGCAGCAGCGACCAGCGACAAGCCTGCAAGAAGCACGAGCTCTACGTCAGCTTCAGGGACCTGGGGTGGCAGGTAAGGGCTGTGACCGAGCGGGGCGTGAGCTGGGCTGCCTTTGCACATCGCTTACTGAGCTGCAATAGCAAGATCAAGCCAATAATTGGATTTTTTTTTTATCCCTGGGGGAAAAAACTGTATATTGTCATTAGCATGCTTAAGAAGTGCTTCTGCAAAGTTAGGGTATACAAATATTTAGTGTGAGACTGGCTAGAAACTCAACACGCTTAGGTCCTTTTGAGAAACTGTGGCCCCCTGAATTTCCTCTGGCAGTGCTGAACCCACATACGCTCTCCATTTTCATCTATCAATTCTTTTGGACCTGGTTAAAGACATTTTTGTTTTTAAACATCACCTTTCAGCGATGGGTGAAGTGATCCTTGAGGACAGCCAGGTGGACACTGCTGAACAGATAAACAGCTAAACCCAGCTATATTATGGGCCTGTTTGGAAAGTGGGACATGTCCCTCCAGGAAAAGCAGCTGCTTTAGAGATGTATAAGAGAGCATTAGAAAGGCCAGAGTACCAGATTATTTTTTTTGCAGGCTACTGTAACTGTATGCAGATGTATGAATTGTTAGATTTATGTGCTGTTCTACTTGTTTCACTGCATTGTTTTCTGTCTTTCTCCGCAATCTAATATCTTCAATTTAATCAAGGACTGGATCATCGCTCCGGAGGGCTATGCTGCATATTACTGTGAAGGAGAATGTGCTTTCCCGTTGAACTCGTACATGAATGCTACAAATCATGCCATTGTACAGACACTGGTAGGTGCGCACTGTAGCTCCTAGTACAGAGTTATTTCTGATAGGTGCTACTCAGAAATAAGTTCATACACAAAAAAAAGTCTCTAAGCTAACAAGAGAAGGGAGGCCTGCATTAGCTCATTAAGATGCCTGAAGCATCTGGCTAAACATATCTGGCCAAGTGGCCTGAATTAATAGTTGGCTGGGAATTACCCTGTCTTTGCTGCAAGCATTGACACGCTCTCTCTAGTTTCAAAGGGCCCTGTGATAGACATCTTAATGGTGGTATAGCCCCACTGCACGGGACGGAAAGAGCAGGATGCGAGACCCACTATCAGCATCTCATGGAACAGCTCCATAAGGATCCATTGTAGGCTGCTGCCAAAAGCAGATCTGAGGGCAGACTGAGGAAGGGGTCAGTAAATCTCAAAATTACACAGCCCAGCTGCTCTGTGGGTGTATCTGTGTTATGAAATTGTGCAAAAGCCCCAAGCTGGCGCGTCCTCATGACACAGTGCCTGTGCTGGGGGGACTGTTGGCCGGGGCCACTCAGCCCCAGCTGTGTCACCAAAGCCAATGCACCACAGCTCTTGGCATGGGCCAGAAGGCACGCTGGTCCTGAGCACCCCGGCTGTGCAGCACCCCCAGCTGACCTGCCTGGACACCCTCCCCTACCCAGCTCAGGTCCCGCTTGACAGCCCAGGCCCCCTGCAAACATCAGCAGGATGCAAGGAGGCTCTCTCCACCTCTTCATCTACATCCCATGTCCTGTACACACCTAAGGACAACGTTGCAAAAAGTATTAGGGAAACCAGAAGCGTCCACATTTCCAAAGGAAGAAATAGCTGCATGTTTTTCTCCTGCTAGATTGCTTTTTATTTGCTTTTTCCCCCCTCTCCTCGGAGGTCCCGCAGCAGGGAGCACAGGGGACCCCGAGCCCTTGGCCCCAGCTGGGTCTCGGTACTGCCAGCTGCAGGGATGGGGCCCCCACCCAGGGCTGGTGGGATTTCTCGCAGAACCTCGCCCGCATGTCCCGCAGAGTTTCTCGTAACTGGTACACTTCTGCTGACTGCTCTGACAAATGGGAATTTTCTAATAAAAACCTGCCTCTCTGAAAGATTTCCAACTAGATCTGAGTTGGGTGCGTGCGTCAGCCTCCGTACATGCAGGGGACATCTCAAGACGTTTGTACACAAAGCCAGGTGTTTGAAACATGTCTGAGTGAGTGCATGGGACTGACAGAAGGTTGCCGGAGAAAGAAAAATATGGGGGAGGAGAGGGGAAAAGTAAATCTTAACACGCCTCTACTTTCATTCCCCAGGTTCACTTTATAAACCCAGAGACTGTGCCGAAACCCTGCTGTGCTCCTACACAACTCAATGCCATCTCAGTGCTCTATTTTGATGACAGCTCCAATGTTATCTTAAAAAAATACAGGAACATGGTGGTACGAGCATGTGGCTGTCATTAGATTTGTAGGAAAGAAAAAAAAAGTTATTTGTAAAGAGTGGTTTTGTACGGCTACGTGGGGGAGGGGAAAAGGTTAGCACTCCAGCAATGGGTTTAAGAAAAATCCCAGTTTTTAGGACTGGGCTTCTGAAAGTTCAGACAATGGAACAGTTTCTGGATCTAAGTGGCATTTGAACACATTTTGTTTTAGTTTATTACAGACAATGAGCTTGTAAACTGAAACAAGCCAGAGAAACCATTTAAAACCAAATCTGCCTACAAAATTGGCTCCTACAATACATACTTTTGCAAATGAGTCTTTCTGAAGATTGCAAACTCACCAGCATTGATTGTGAGTTAAAAAATAATAATCTATCCAAGGTGAGAATGTGCTGTGACTAATAAGCATGTGTAGTTCCTGTAACACAGTTTGCAATAAAATAAGTGAACAAAATATACCTGGAGTGAACAGGTATTTTGTTAGAGAATTGTTACTTCCATCCCTCTCTTTGCTTCAATTTTATAAGCAAAAACAAAGATAAATTACATGCAACTTCCAGTTTTAAACTATAGTAGCAAAAGCTGTATCTGGATTGATGCAAATTCAAAGGACAGATCAGTCTAAGAAAAAAATATTGGCAAACAAAAGAACTGAAGAAAATAAATTGAAAGAGCAGGACTTTTGGGGTATACTTTTTTGTGTCAACAGGGAAGGAAATTTCCTCTAGCAGCCAGAAAGAATTAGATTTGCTATGAACTTGAAACAGGAAAGCAGCAAAATGTTAAGAAACTGGGATTAAACCTAACATTTAGCTGGGGTATCCTAAGCAGTTCTGGAGTTGTGAAAGCCAGCTCAAGATCCTGCTCCTGTTTGGAAAATGTCCATTGACTTCACTGACAGAACAAATTCCAACACTTTTTCGAAAACGTGGAGACTCAAGCGCAGAAGGTGCTCTAAGCTGCGTCGTACACCCAGCACCACACAGATTCAGCTAGAAACAAGCTGGGAAGCCTTACTTCCCTGGGTCAGTGTTTTACAATAAACCCCCTGCTCTATTATGGGCGTCACCCTTTAAAAAAAAAAAAAAAAAAACCAAAAAAAAAAAACCCCCAAAAACCCTTTCAAGAGCCACACCAACAAGCTGGAACCAGGACCAAGAAAACGTCCCCTCAAGGCATTTCTTTTGCCTTCTTTTAAAGACACAGGTTACACAAACATCACACTTATGTAATTAAAACTCAATTAAAGTTGCTGTAAGTAAGAATACAAAATAGCAGTAACCAGTCACAAACCAATTCAACACTTTGGCATACCTTGTGATTACAAAAGTAGGATTGGCATAAATCTCACCAGGAAGATAAAAAAGAAAATTCTATCCAATAAAGCACCAGGTCCACAGCACACCCAGCTCTAAACTTCAAAAACCTAAGCCTCCAATATATGAGTCCAGAACATAATAAATCCCTGGAGATGGTTCTCTCTGCTCAGTGAGTGGACAGGGTGATGCAGCTGCAGTGGGAACTTGGCTCCGTATCTTGCCTTAGAGGAGAGTTAGAGAAAGAAGATAAATGAACGCAACGGCCCGATTCTGGAAATCGCTTGTTGCTCTTCTTCCTTTAAGTCACAGATCAAATCCAGACCAGATGCCTCACTTTAAAAAGAATAAGCAAAGGAAGAAAACCAAAAATTACTGTCTATGAAATAAATTGGAAACTTGTTTCTGATGGTCCAATTCTCATCTCATTTAAGTCAATTGGTGTTTTCCCAGTAGCAGGATTAGGCTCATAGAAAAGTGGAAGTCTCTCCACGGCAGCGGTAGGTTTTGGACTGGGGCCTGGGTAAGCAGTTGCCAGGTTGCCAGATGTGCCTGGCTTCCAACCCAGGCGACTCAAACATCTGCAGGACCAGCCTGGCCGTGGCACGCATGCTCTGCAAGCACAACTCCAGCAAATTTCCTAACTGCCCCAAGGTGGACTTCAACCAAAATAGCTACAGGCAGCCAAACGGCAGGACAACAGCTGAAGCCAAAAGACCATCTCTCCCTGGAGCCTGCGGACAAGACCATCCATGATAAACAGCCAAAACTGCCCTTGGCGCGTCTCTTACTTAGAGTGAGGTATTGAAATCACGCAGATTGGAAGTGTCTTTTGACATGGTATATGTATATACACCAGTGCTTCTGTAAACCTCCTAAAGGAAGTTAAGGTGCTGCCTAGAAAGTTAAAAGCTAATCATGCCTAAACTTCCACTATTTAGTAGTCAAGGATTAGTTTTTCCTGTGGGTGTTTCAGTGTTGGTGGTCACTGCGTTGGTGTATTGCATTTTTGACTTGGACCACGGTATCTTGCTGTATAGGATTCATATATTAAATATTATGTGGGGATTGTTTCTGTTTTGGTTTTCTTTTTAAACATAATAACAGGATTTCTGTTGCTAGGCTCAACATCAGCTTCACTGTTTGTACATTTTTATGTAAATAGTTGTCACAAGCGGAAGAAGAATTATTTATTTCCATCTCTGAATTCCTTTTCAATCACATCCAGGAAAAATGATTCTCGGTTCCTAAGCACATTTGTTTCCTTATTTAAGAAGATATTTATTAACAGTTGGCAAAAATGCATACACGTTTCTGGTTCTTTTCATAGAGCAGTTGTCAGAAGCCTTTTGTACAAACTAGTAAAATAAATCATTGCAACTTTACAAAAAATATCCCAACAACATTGTGTATCTGTGTGGTTTTTCTCCCTATATTCAAAGAACCTTTTTGGCTGGGCAATATTTTATCTTGGGCCTCTGTTTTCATGTAGATCAATCTCTATGTATGGGCAAAATGGGCACATGTTGCCACTCCGTCAGTCCAAATACAACAGAGAGGGAAGAATACAAAAAAATATTAATATGTTTTGCAGACTGCACTGCAAAGATCCATGATTGAATTATAGTGCAGCTGTCAGCAGCTGTTTCAAAGAAGCAGGGGGTAAATTAGTTCTGTTTACTGCTAACATAGTTCAGAGATTTAGTCATCCCAATAAAATTATAGAGGCACAAGAAAGGAAAAAAGAAACTCCAAAGGAAGATCAGCCAAGAAGCTGACATTTTCTAATTTAGAGTGTTTTAGCATATTTCAGAGATGCTGCTGGCATGAGGTTCCTACTGCGGATACCACACTGCATTGCTATGGAGGCAGCCGAAAAAAATAATGGTCTAAATCCCTGTATTAACTAAACAGCGCATCTTCAGACCGTAACTGCAATTTTGGGGTTCTTGTTTACTTTGAACTGTGAGCAGAGTTGTGTCAGTTTATGTAGATGTATTTGCTGACCCAGAGGCTCAAATCATCAGCATTTGGGGGTTAAATTACCATCTTTCACAAGCGATTACAAATTCATAAGTAAATTTGATTCATGCACTTATCTAAAGTCAGTGAAGCATCGGTGGAGAGACCTTTATTGACCTAAACTGATGCCTACTCAGCTTTTGTATGCCTAGACTAATTTTAGGAGGAGGATCCCCTGGTATTTCTCAGTATGGTCCCAATTCTCTGCATTTGGACCCAGTAAGGTTCCAGCAAGGAGAGGAAAAACTAAAAAAAAAATAAACCAAACCAAAAACACCCTAAAAAAAAGAAAATAAAAAGAAAAATCAGCCTGCTTTACAGTGCCAATCTTGCAGCCAACAGAAGCTTTACCACTAACTTCAACACATCCAGCCTTATATCATGAAATATCGGTTGGTTTCCAGCCCTGCCACAAACACACACAACTTGCTGGATATGCTTCCTAGCAGCTTTCCCAGCCTGGGAGCCAAAACTCCGTTCCCGAGCTGGTTGCAGCCTCCCCTCGGTCCGCAGCGCTACTGTGGCTTTGTCTCCTCATCTACTGTTCTGGAAGAGGAATTCTTGACATGAATACATATGCTGCCATAAACTGGCAGGGCCATAAAGCTCCAGTGAACCAGCTTCAAAACAGCTAGATTTATCTGAGTAATGACATTTTAAAGCACATTTAAAACATTTTATAGATCAGTTATTTTAACTTCCTTTCAGGCCAAACTTTGAGGATGTTATGTTTGCTTAATCGAGCTGTTTTAGAACTGTTCCAGTACTGACAATAGGATCCTTTTGTCCCTACGCAGGAAACTGCCTTCTATGCTGCCAACGTTCATATAATAAAAGAGAATGATTTAAGTAAGCCTTAGCGTAATTTTAAGATTTCTGATTTTTATGGAAGTGTCAGCTGTAAAGCCTAAAACCAGAGAGGGAGAGCAGAGCTCACACAAGCGCAGCTCAGCGGCGTTGCCAAGGACCGCAGGATTTCCTCTGCTGCTCTATTCAATCCTTTCAGCTCTGCCTGCAATGGGATCAGACACTTTCTGGGTAAGTAAAACCAAAGAGACTCATCTTTTGAGTTCAGCATTTGCATCCCCTGTACGTTTCTACCCAAATGCCCTGCTTGCTGACTTCCATTGCTGCCACAAACACATTATTCTCTGTATTCAGCCATTCCTTTGGAGAGAAATTCTGCCCAATTAAGCTAAAAGGAGCCTGTTTGAAGTTTTTATTTATCAGGTAATGATTGACAAGACCTTGAGGCAAAAAACTAGGAGCACTTTATACTACAGTCATTCATTACCCAAGTACAAAAGCAACACAAATGGGTTATTATGGCCACTTTGAGTTACTCTGTTTTAGATAAAAATATCTATTCCCTTTCTCTGCTTAATGCAGTAGAATTTGTGTTCCTAAACCCGCAGCTAAGAAAGATCAGAAGTTTTGGATAACGCACATTTAAAGCACTGATTTTTTCCCTAGCGTGCATGCTGGTTTTCCTAGGGTCTGTTTGCTGACCAGGCAAGTGGGAGCAAACATTTTCATGTTGTGAGAGTTATTTTGATATTGTGAGGTTTGCCACTTTGGGACAAATATGCTGTTTTCTCCAATTAATAGAACCCTGATGTTTTAATTAATTCCATAAATGAAGACAGCACAATCTTTAGACAGCTTGAATTTGGTTTTATATTTA